CAAGGATGAGGGAGGTCTTGTTGGTCTCCATCTCCCGATACGCTCTCGCCTGTGTCCGACCTTTCAGACATTTCAACATCTTTTTCTGAATCCCACATTGTAGCATGGCATAGACAATTCATGTTTGCAGTTTGAAGAACACCTGCTTGCTTCTGATGATTTCCTTTAGCTAAGCAATGGGTGTTTGCATTATATGACTCATCCAATTACACTAGTTTTCACTAGATGTGGAAGGAGCCAATGATCTGCATGGGATGGAGCACATGACGTGAAATAAATATTTATAAACATTAAACCAGGGGTAACCAATTAAAAATCAGCAGAATCCGAATAAAGAAAATCATTAACCAGTAAAGGTCCGGAGACATTTTTAATGATCAGTTAATTTAATCACAATCAGAATCAGATTCTGATTGAACAGAATTTAGCACTGAAATAAAATGAGGTATTTATGCATTCATGTTATACACTGAATTAAAAAAAAAGGGGAAAAAAATAGAAATTGCCAAAAACTGCATCCCGTGCTACCTTAGAGAAGTTGACACTTGACTGTATTCCTGCATATCCATCAGTAGTTAAAGGTCAAGGGTCAGCAAATGCAAATTCTTCCCTGATCTGAAGCCTCATTTTGAGCTTTTAAACAGGCTTTTGAAAAACTTTGAAAATTTGCTGCTGTATTATTATAGATTTTTTGGAATAAAAAGCTAGCAGATGAAATAACAGAAATACAATTATAGAGCATTCAGTATTATAAGAAAGCCCACACTGTTTCTGAATAAATTATTGTATGAGTTAAGATCTGTTCCGTTTATGTCTCTTTTCTTGTAAGTGTGAAATGTCCCATGCTCATGAATGCACCACAGCTATCTGACGCTCGTGAATGCGTCACACTGATCTGTGTAGATGCGCCTTTGATTTTCGGCTTAAGACAAAGCTTTGTAGTTTCCAAACTCACGTTGGCTATCACTGTTTATTGTTGTGTGTGAATAACAAGAGACTAGAATAAATAAATCAGCCGTTCCTTGGACAAAATCTTTGGATCTAATGTTGTTCATAACACCCCTACTTTTATAAATGAATCTGCCAAATAACCACAATTTGTTTCCCATGAGAGGAACATTTAAAAATTTTTATATCATTAATATAACAAAAAGTAACTCCATTGGTCAGATTTAAATCCGTTTTCCTCGTCGATAGTCGCAATTACAGAACAAGGTGCGCTCCCGCGACTGGGAATGCATATCTCGGCAGGGATGCATTTTTCGGCATAACACCTGACCGTGGTCCGCTAATCCCTGACCTCTGCATTAAACCGAAGCCAAGAGTAACGAGTAACGGTTGTTTTAAAAATGTAAGGAATAGAAAGTACAGATACTTGTGTGAAAATGTAATGAGTAGAAGTCAGAAGTAGGAAGAAAAATAAGTAATTGAGTTAAGTATAGATACCTAAAAAGTGCACTTAAGTACAGTAACGGAGTATTTGTACTTCGTTACTTGACACCTCTGGCGGCTAAGGTGTCTGAAGCAGGAACGATTACTGGAGAAACACAGGTTAGTGACTGCAAAAATCTGACGGAGGATGATTATGAACGGGCAAGTCACTAACCTGGTTTAGTTTAGTTCATGCTCGGTAAATGAGGATGATTCCAGCCAGTCAACTGAACGAGCGCAGCAGATGCTGCAAGAGAGTTCCAGACATGGAAGCCCAGAAGGCTGCAGAGCTGACAGAAGATCAGTTTCGAGCTGAAGATGAAAGACAGGATAATCCACAGGGCAAAGTCTAGAGGCAGATCCAGGTTCAGTCCACAGAGGAATCCGACAGGAGTCTGAAGACAGGCAGGCAAACTAATCAGAACAAGGGCAGGCAGGCTCAAAGGTCCAAATACAGAAAAAGTTCCGAAAATCAGAACACTATAGTTACGCTAGAGAACTCTGAACACCAAAGGCTCAATAATAATCTGGCACTGATGCCTTTGAATCAGGCAGCTTAAATAGGAAAAAAGAACAGGTGGATCTAATGAGTGATGAGGAACAGGGCAGAGCTAGACAGGTGAATGAAATGAGCAGTCAGCCAGCCATCAGCGCCACAATCATGACAACAGCTGTCAAGTATGGTGGAGTTATGACTGTTTGTATTGGTGCTTCAAAGAAATAGAAAAAGACTTCTTAAACCTCCTCTAAAATCTACTAAATGATAACATTTGGACACAGTGAGGTGGTCATACTGTACAATGATACAGGTAATCAAAAATGAAGTTTAATATTAAAGTTCGAAAAATAAATAGAGCTATAAACTAAAGCGGATTAAAAATTTGAGGACAATGCTTAGAAAAATTTCTGCCGGGGGAAAAAAAAAAAGAACTTAGTTAATCCACCCTCGAAAATAATAGTTTAAGATCTATTTGAAAACTTTATTATTAATGAAGACAGAACATAAATTAGAAAAGTTAATTAAAGAAGTAACATTAATTAACGTTTATTCCCTATATTTTTAATAAAGTATTGGTGTAATACTAAATTTCTATTCTTTAAGACTAAAATTTTAAGTTTCCATTTAAATTAAAGTTTTAGTTTTCATCTTAACTAAATGGGATAATTCCCTGCTAATGTAAAACAGTGCTAAAGGAATTCTTATGAAATTACCTTGTATTTATAAATGTATCCATGACATTTTAGTTAATAAGATATTGTTCAGCTTTAAATGAAAAGCAGACCAAAAAGAAAATCAAAACATTAGCAAAACAAAAAACTACTATAATAAAAGTCAGCGTAATGATATGAAATGGGTTAAATTGTGTTTGTTTCCTCCAGGACTTCACCACAACCCTATACCTCCGTCATTACTGGAAAGATGAGCGGCTGTCGTTTCCATCCCAAAACAACAAGAGCCGGACGTTTGACTCCCGACTGGTGAAGAAGATCTGGGTTCCTGACGTCTTCTTTGTCCACTCCAAGCGCTCCTTCATCCATGACACCACCATGGAGAACATCATGCTGCGGGTTTACCCCGACGGTAACATCCTCTACAGTGTCAGGTACAGATCGCGCATCAGGTCTGAAATTAAGCAAATTTTATCATAATGTTTTTTCTTTTTTTTTCATTTGGTTTAACAGCAAACTCTGCTGGTATCGCCTCTAATATAGATAATTTTACTGTTTGGTGTTTTGTTTGGCTTCTAGATGGACAGATTTTGGTGGTGTTGGTGTCATTAAGGACATTCCAACACTTATCTAAAATAGAGTAACCACTATATATACTTTATAGTGATTAGGGCAGACGTTTAGACACAGCTTCTATCTATGCTTAAAACAATAAACATAAAAAATTATGTCCACGTTATATATAACCTTAAAGGAATAGTACACCCAAAACATGATTAGCCTTCATTTTCTACTCACCCCCATGCTGAACAACACTCTGGAGTACTTTTTTGATATCTCAAATGCATCTGGAGATCTGGGAGGCTTCTTGCTGTCTGCTGACATTCAAATAATGGAGGTCTATGGTGCCCGAGACAGAAAGGTCCATAAAAGTCCACAAAAAACGTGTCAATATTCCTCCATACTGCTCGTCCAATGTATTCCAAGTGTCCTGAGTGGGTAGCATCCAGAATTTACTCGAAACGAAGTCATTTAGAATGTTTTTAGAGCATAAACAGTAGTGTATAGGATTTCCTGAAAGCGCGCACATGCGCGTTCACGACGCTACGGAAGCCGGCAGACCAAACCAGATGAAAGTGCGCATTCAGCGTCTGCTCTGCCAATAATGCAAGCGTAGAAGAAGAAATGTGCTGTTTACCTGTGCAAAGAAAGAAACAACGAAAGAAAAATGTCTGAGGACTTCAGTGTTGAGGAAGAGCATGAGTTCTTTGCCGAGCTGAATGCGCACTTTCATCTGGTTTGGTCTGCCGGCTTCCGTAGCGTCATGAACGCGCATGTGCGCGCTTTCAGGAAATCCTATACACTACTGTTTATGCTCTAAAAACATTCTAAATGACTTCGTTTCGAGTAAATTCTGGATGCTACCCACTCAGGACACTTGGAATACATTGGACGAGCAGTATGGAGGAATATTGACACGTTTTTTGTGGACTTTTATGGACCTTTCTGTCTCAGTCACCATAGACCTCCATTATTTGAATGTCAGCAGACAGCAAGAAGCCTCCCAGATCTCCAGATGCATTTGAGATATCAAAAAAGTACTCCAGAGTGTTGTTCAGCATGGGGGTGAGTAGAAAATGAAGGCTAATCATGTTTTGGGTGTACTATTCCTTTAAATGTGAGTGTCGTGTTCAGCTGTGGTTGCCTGCTTTCAGGGTCACGGTGACAGCTCTCTGCTCAATGGACTTCAGCAGTTTCCCTTTGGACACCCAGAACTGTTCGCTGGAGCTGGAGAGCTGTAAGAACCAAGCCAATCAAATTCTGGCCTGTTTGAGAGCTAAACCAATGATGGAGGACAGTGACTGCAGGCTCTCTTTCAAAGCATTTCCCCTTGTTTGTAACCCTGTGTTTCTGCCTCTACAGACGCTTATAATGAGAACGATCTGATGCTTTATTGGAAGAACGGGAATGACTCTCTAAGGACGGATGAGATCGTCTTGTCCCAGTTCTTCATCGAACACTTCCACGCCTCTAGTGGACTCGCCTTCTACAGCAGCACAGGTGAAAAAAACAGAATCATCGCTCATGAGAAATTAAGACACCCTACTACAGCCTGGTTATTTGCCATAAAGCTATATATCCATATTTTAACATGGGGATATTAAAAATCTATTTTGAAAAATGCAAGAATGTAACAAAAAAAAGTGCAATTTCTGGTAAAAAAAAAAAAAATACAAAAAAAATGAATACAATATCCTGATATTTACTGCCTTTTAATGTCTAAATTAGCACACAGGTGGATCATATCAGCTGCTCATGATGAGAACATCCTTACTAAGCACCCTGAAGGAGGTTTACCCTGTTTGAAAATCACAGATTTGCTTTGCGGCTCCTGAACCAGTTAAAATGAGCAGCATGGTGAGAATCAAAGAGATGACAGAGCGGCTTATGAGACTGGTCAGGGATTTACAGGGATCCCTACAGAAGCCATTAAACTATAGGTTACAGTATTTGAGTGGATACCTGCAACATTAAACCTTTCATAACATGAGGACCCACTCGCCCCAAGATGATTTTTAGACCTGTAACATATTCTCTGGGGTCTTGCGTTTTTTTTTTTGATACCAAAACAATGAAAATAAACTCTGTAGTTCTTGAGATATATTCAATTCATTTTGGGCATGTTATTTTCAAGCATATTTCTCGAAAACAGGCCTAGTGTCCAGGAGGTTAAACAAGAATCTCCACAAGTTTAACTTTTATTTGAGGTGTGAAGGAAGGAAACCGGAGCCACAAGACCAGTGGTTGGAGTGTTGGCCTAGTGGTTAGAGCAGTGTGGTTGTGCTCTGAGAAGCTTGCAAATACCCAGTTCAATCCCCACAGACTGATTCTGGGTTCCTGAGCAAAACCCTTAACCCCACACTGCTACCCAGGCACCGCACAATGGGCAGCCCACTGCTCCCCAAGGGGATGGGTTAAATACAGACAGAGAATTCCCCCATTGTGGCAAAATAAAGGGATTTATATATTTTTTTCAAAGATTTCTTAAAGAAAAAAAAAAAAAAAAAAGATCAGAGATAACTGGCTGTATGATTGATTCATGTTTTCACCCATATCTTGCCACAGTATGTCATATATGGCATTACCAGCATTTTATATAGTAGATGCAAAGACCTCAGACATAATGTGTTCTTTGTTGCAAAAGTCAAGATATAAGAGAATACCAATAAAATAGAATTTATTCTCATTTTATAGAGAAGCTGCAGCCGCCTGTAAAGACAAGCGTGTAAAGAAGATAAGACAACTGTACACCAGCTCTGCAGCATGGAGGTGGAGCTGTCATGGTTTGGGAATACTTTCCTTCAGCAGGACACTTCCTATATGGAAGTGAGCCAAAACATTAGCCTGACGTAGTCCAACTCAATTCTAGTCAGAATATGAG